ATTCAGCTTTGTTTGGGTATTTTCCCACGTCATTGTAGTTGTGGTTTTAAAGTTGTAGCAACGTTTCGGCGGAATCTCATCTGCCATCATCAGGCTTCTGTATTGTGTTCATCTGTGAGTCAGACTTTTTTGTATGGCAGATGAGAATCTGCCGAAACGTTGCTACAACTTTAAAAGCACAACTACAATGACGTGGGAAAATACCCGAACAAAGCTGAATCACACACACACATGTAAACCAACTAGGCCTCGATGTCTGATTCACTCATTCTCCTTTTCATTTCTCTCTTCCAAACTCTCTTTATCTCTCCCCATTGATTTTAGCTATTATCATTTCCAAAACATCTTGATAGCTCCCCACCCTATCTAGTCCACTAGAGAGAACAGAACTTCTCATTCTTTTTGTTTGACAGTAGAATGAGTCACAAAAATTAAATATACACATATTGACTTCCCACAAAAAAAGTAAAGCATAAGTCTGTGTCTCTCTTCTTTGAAGTAAATGGATAAGTATTGTTTGACATCCTCTTCTTGCACCTAAGAAATTTAAGGCCTAAAATTAACAAAGATGCTACTTACTCAGGAAAGTACTTCAGTTTTTACTACTGTTGCAACTTGCACCCTTCTTCTCTGATGAAGCTCAAGGCAACTAATACAGGGTGGCCAGTCTCCTAAGCTGGCATTAGCCAGATCTAAACTGAATCACTTCTGCAAGGCTGAAACACCATGTTTATTTAAACTTTTTGCTCTCTCCTTCCCACTTTTAAAAATTACAGAGGACCCTCAAAGAGTTTTTGTTTGTACAGGTTAGCTTTTGCAGTATTTACAATATTCATAATTAAAATTGACATATTTATGGAGTATTTATTTAATGAATCATGTAAAAGCAACAATACAAACCCATTAAATATGGATTAATATTTTTTCACGAAAAATACCTGCATTTTTCAACATTTTTTTAAAAAAATTAAATACATTATTTTAATTTTCCGAAAATTTATTCAACAGATGGCAAATAATTTCGATCTTGCAGACCGCTGAAGGTATTAGGGGGATTCCCCAAGGTTAGGAAACCCTGCATTAAAGCATATATTCGGAAAGCTGCAACCCCCTAATGTTACAGGACGATGCTCCCCAAAGCAGCGGACCGGTGCTGAACACTTGCACACATGAGGTCCCTGTCCAGCATCCAAGCCGGGCTGGGAGTGGGGGAAGCCTGCCACAAAACTGTGCCGGTTTAGGGTCGCCCATCCTGTGCCGAAAAGACCAGCAGATGGGTCTCTGCGGCGGCTCGTCCTCTCACGACAGCCGGGCTGCCACCGCGCCCTGCCCCCTCGCTCCGGTCTCGCCGATACCTGGTGAAGGCGAAGGCCATGAGGCTGAGGATGGTGAAGCTGAGCAGGGTGATGGTGTGGGGCCGGTAGAAGAACTCCAGGGTGATGTCCTCCACTTGCTGCTCGTTGATCATGCGGAAGTGCAGCCGGTAGTTCACATCGTCCTTGCTCAAAGTGTGACTCCCCACATACGACGCCATGGCTGCAACGCCTTCCCTCCTCCTCCTCTCCTCTCCTCCTCGGCGGCGATAGCGGGCCCAGTCTCGCCGCTCCCAACCCTCGCAGCTCCGCGGAAGAGAAGGGAAAGCAGAAGGAGGCGCGCCAGCGGGCAGCGAGGAGACGTAGCCGGGATGGGAGAAGGGGCGGCGCGTCGCTTTAGACGTAGCCGGCAGCCGCCGCCGCCGCCACGAGGAAGGGCTGCTCGGGGCCTCGCCTCCTGCTCTTTGCGTCAGGAGGAGCGCCTTGCGAGCCGGGGAAGGCGACCCTCGTGAAGGCGAGGGGTGCCTCGCTGCAGCTGGGCAGGCGTTGGACACCCTCACCCTGCTTCCTTCAGGCGCAGCTTCGAACGGCGGGCCCTCGAAGGAGAAAAAAACCCCGCGGGATCGAGAGCTTGCAGCGTTGCCTGGTCCGGGGTGCAGCCGGGTGAGTTGGTCACTTCTCGCGGGTCCTTCCTCGGAAGTAAGCCGGATTTCTGTGCTCGGTGGAATTTACTACAAGTCGTTTTGGGGAGTCTTGTAAGGGATTCTCTGAACGTTCCTGGAGTATCCCATCGAGGGCACCCTGATGTACACCCTGAGTATCCCATCGAGGGCACCCATCACCGATGTTGGAGTAAATATAGTACAGGTAGACCTCGACTTACAACAGTTCATTTGGTGACTTAGACTAGACTTAGAACTTGGACTTAGAGTAACTTTATTATCCCTTTGAATGTGCATTAATCGGCATGCATTACAATGAAATTTCGTGCTCTTTAAAGAGTCTCCACCTCCAAAGTGACCCTTCAAAATTACAACAGCATTGAAAAAAAGGATTTATGACCGGTTTTTCACACTTAATGACTGCTGTAGCATCCCCATGGTATCTTGATTAAAATTCAGATGCTTGACAACTGACTCATGTTTATGATGGTTGTAGTGTTGTGTTGAGGTCATGTGATCACCTTTTGCAACCTTCTGACAAGCAAAGTCAGTGGGAAAGCCAGATTCACTTTACAACAGGTTTACTAACTTAACAACTGACGTTATTCACTTAACAACTGTGGCAAGAAAGATCGTAAAATGGGGCAAAATTCACTTAACAAATGTCTTGCTTAGCAACAGAAATTTTGGGCTCAGTTGTGGTTGTAAGTCGAGGACTACTTCTATTGTAGAAATCAGGGGACATGCATTTTAACTAGACACCCATTGCATTTTCTCTAATTTGGGATCCTGCGTTCTTGTGATGGATGGTGGGAGATCGTCCAGGAACTCTGAAGGGTCAGAGATTGTGTACCTTCCTGCCCTCCAGTTACTTCATGTTGTCTATAAAAATGAGACAACAGAGAAAAAGGATGGCTGTATAACTACCGAACTGTGTCCCAGATTTTATCTAATTTTGGTTCTGCCGATATATTAACTGTAAGGAGGAATTTTTCTCCACAAAGCAGCTAGAACCCTACAGGGATCTCATGCTATTTCAGTCATGTTGGCTGAGGATATAGCAATATTTTCTTGGGGTGGGGGGGGAACCCTACTTTAGGGATGGATTACTGGAGCTTTATATCATAACTGTCTTGATGTGCTACTCTGATGAGTCCCACCAGAAGTTTTTAAAAGAGGGCTGATGTTCCCATTAGTGCTACAGAGGCAATAGGATGAACTATTGAATGCTTTTTAGGCCTTGTGATTAATGTGATTAATTAATTTTAGACCCTGTAAATAATTAGGAGTTCCCAAAAGTGGGCTAAAGCAAAAGCAAGACAATAATCCCCAAACTATGTACACTACAAAAGCAGACTGGTTCTTATTTTGATATTGATGGTAATATAACATCTTCTACTGTATCTGATAACAGCAGGACAGGTGCCAGGTCCCTAATGTAGGAGCAGACAACTATTTCCCCTCAAAGATCTTTTCTTTCTTTCTTTCTTTCTTTCTTTCTTCTTTTGCAATCCAGGTCACTTCTTTTGTCACCGAACTATGATGATATATAATTTCCCGTTGTTTTATTTATTAATTAATTTGATTTAAGCACTGCCCAACTCCAAATCAAGTCATGACTGCACAAGGTTGAAAAAATAATTAACAAGTTTATCTACTTTCCTTCACTGCCCTATCTGCTGCTCCTTCATCTTCAGCAAATGATTCTATGTTAGAGCAGGTATACTCAGCCCACAGCCCATGGGCTACATGTGGAACTGGAGAGCTGGTAATGTGACCACAAGACCCTCCCCAATATAAAATTTGCTATTTCTGTATATTAACTATATGATATATTTTTATATTGAGCCCAAGGCAATTTCTTTTCACTCATTGCAGCCCAGGCAATCCAAAATGTTGGACATGCCTGGTGTACAACCACTTACCACTTGATTGGTTGATTGACTGAACTTATATACCTGCCCATCTCACTCACATGTGACTCTGAACAGCATACACAATTAAAACAAAGACTAAACAATCAATATAATTCAACTATTAAAACCAATGAAAAACAGTTAAAAGGCTACAATAAAGAAAAAGACAAGAGTGCAGTCTAAAATTACACTAGCCTTTTGACAGGCTCCACAGTTCCATGGGATCTCCATATCCCATCAGAAAACCAAGTTTTGAGAGCTTTCAAGGTTTCCTATTCTTAACATATGGCAATAATAGTTTGTCAAGCACAGGAAATCAGAAGTCCGGGCAATTCAAATGAATATAGGTTTATTACATGCTAATGTTCTATACAAGAATCTGAACTACTAATGGTCAAAGGAAATTTGTGGTAGATAAAGAATCAAAGGAATTCACAGTGGGCTGAACTAAGATCTCCTTCGAGCGTTTTTGATCCCTCCCTCAAGCTCAGCCTGGTCGTCTCCTACATCGTCACTGCAAACCAGTATTACAAATCCTTATTCTGTCTAACAAATAAGTATAAATATTCCTTTGGTCTTTTCTTACAGATCTTAATCAGTAAGATGCCTTTGTGGACTCGACAGTTATCCAGATGCTGCTCTTTGTTAAATGCATACAATACTATAAAGAGTGCAGAGCTGAGAAAGGAATCAGTAATAATGTGGACACCTTTTCTTGAACCATCAATGTTGAAGTGCCTTTGTCCTTACGGATATTATTGCCACATGCTGTTAAAGAACTTTAGAACTTTGCATCTGGAGAATCACAGGCAGTTCTGCAGCTCAAGTACTGAACCCCACCAGACTTCACTTTCTGTCATTGACAAGCCGAAACCTGAGATAGTACCTATTTTAGATACCGAAGAATTGCTTCAAGGTAAGTAAAAAATTACATTAATATGACGTTGAACATGATATATCGCAGCACTACATCTAAATTTGTTCAGTTTTATTTGGTCTTCCTTTTCTGTTCAAAATTGTTTAGAATTTATTGTTTGCTATAGTATTTAAATCACATTTTTTTAACAGAGCCTGAGAAAATTATTTGATAGAGTTGAGGGTGAATCTTATACAGATAGTTCCCAGTTAATAAGAATAATTGAGACTGGAAAAGACCTACTCTGATCCAAGATACTTCTGGATTGGTCCTTCCCAGCCCTGAACCTCAGCAAGTTAAGGGACTAACTCCAATGCACACCACCCTTTACCTCCTTTCGTATCTATGCCTTTTTGGCTGCCTTACACTCCACCGGCCCAGCTGGTCTTCACTGTCCTCTTCCTGCTAAGGCATGCGTATCTAGCTGTAGCATTCTTGTCCAAATCATGTGTGGCCTTCCTGCAAAACTCCTTTGTAGGGTAATAAAATAGGTTATTCAGTATATGAGTTACCCTCAGCTTCAAATCTATCTGGGTTCATTGCAAAAACACCTTTTTTTCCTCACTTTATGCAATGTAATTAGAAATGTCTGATCTCAGCCTTGAGCAAGCCATAGTATACTATTTTATTTAAATTAGCAATGATTAATATTGCTTGTGCAGTTATAAATATGGCTCTAATATAATTATGCTAAATTGCCAGTCTAAATCTCAATTTCCAATTGGGTTCACACTTTAAGGTATAATACAGCTTGTTTGATTTTATTGTGTTAAGTAATCCCAGACAGTTAACAGTTTAATACAGTGTGTGGAATCTAAAGTGTGTGTATGTCTGTCTGTCTGTGTGTGTGTGTAGGAGCAATTATACAAGCATGAAACTTGTGACACTATCTGATTGTAAAAGCAAATTTGTAGAATATTTTCTAGAGTTATAACTTCCAGAAATGAGTTATAAGTTTCTTCTTCAGAGCCCCAAATTTGGAAGTGAAGGGAGGGTGAGTGTGTGTGTATGAGAGAGAGAGAGAGAGAGGGAGGGAGAGGGAGAGGAAGAGCAGAGGGTTATTTATATATATATAAAGCCATCCAGCACTACCCTTTGGTAAGATGTGTGGCCAATAAATTTTTATAAATAATAAAATGTGGAGACTCAATCAAACCAAAATTTATTATGTTGCCAGAGGTTAGGCATGAGTGTTGATTATTATACCCACTGTCATTTTTATATAAATAATTGGCAAATTATTTATTCATATATTTGTTTATTTATAAAATTTATTAGCTACCCACCTTGCCATATAGTAACTCTGGGTGGCTTACAATATTGAAAGATAAAACTGAATAATATAAACACAATGCTATAAAATCAACCTAGCTAAAAAGATAAGGGGAAAATATTGTTGAGTTGGGCAAATATACTGGTAATTATGGCAAAATGGCAAACATTGGCAATCTTTGAGACTCTAAATTGCACCAATTTATTGCTTCAGGTTTCATTGGATGCCATAACAACAGAACGAATCTAATAAAAACTGGTGGGTGGGTCCTAAACAGTCATGCATTGTCATCGTCAAAAATTCTATATGTTATTGTTTTGGGGTTTCTCATTTTTTAAAAATAGTCTTCAATAGACTATTTAAAAGACAGAATCTCCCTTCCCCTATATTTTGAAAACAAATAATAATCAATTTTATCCAGAATAATAAAAGAATTCTCATTAGGGTTATTTATCAATAGCTAAGATAGCTCAGCTCTGTTCACCATATAAATGCCATGTGTTTGGTATTCTATCACTTCCTTAACTTCCGTTGTTTTTTTTTCTTTTCATGAACTTAAGATTTGGACTATGGCTTGCCTATATCTCCCTTGGAGAAAATTTCAGAAGATGAGTCTCTTCAAATCAAAGCTGCACCACCACCTCCGTTAGAATCTTTCTCACTTAGAGATTATGTTGACCATTCGGAAACATTGCGCAAATTAGTGCTTCTAGGTAAGTATAGCTCCATTTGCTAGACACTTTGTGATATGTTGAAACTCTGTGATAATCATTTTTACTATATAACAACCTGTCATGTTTGAATACACAACACATTCAATATTTGCAGAATATATTTCTATCGTAAAATGGTAGCTGGAAGGTATACTCTATTGCAGAAATATAATTGAGGGCAGAAAGCACTTTTGCACAATTTCTTTGTAATAGGAGGGTTCATAAATACAATAAATCCATGAAAAATTTGGAAAACAACTTATTTAGAACTATTATTTATCTACATGTACCTCAGGATGTATACAGTATTACTTATTACCTTTATAATCATATATATTAACATTTCTGTATCTGTATCATACTAAAGTATGTGGTGCCAGTAATCAATATTCTTCTGAGACCTTTAAAGATGGAGCTGATCTGTTGATTTTACCAGAATGGTAGGAATCAATGAGGCTTGAGCTCTTTCTTCCACGATCCCTAGTTATTTAGAGTTGCTATCTATATTTACTCAGTCACATTAAAAATGACTATAAATGAAAGATTGTGCAGTGGAGCTCAAAATTGGATTCAGACATGATCAGACTGTTGATGTCAGTGTGACTTAAGATAGTAAATGTGTACCTTAAAGTGATTGATTTCACTGGGGTTGTTCTGGGTATAAAAGTAGAACACATAGCTTTTAGTGTTTGCATGTACAAAATTAGGCACACTGTAGGATAAATATTTATTTTCACTGAATAGCTATGTAATCTGTTTTTGAATTCCCTGCAGGAGTCAACTTGTCCATTGTGGAAAAACATCCAAATGCAGGCCAGCTTCTTGTAAAACTCGATTTTGAAACTGATATTAAAAAAATCCTTCTATTTCTTAATGATATTGGTTTGGAAGATACACAATTTGGGGCATTTCTCACTAAAAATCCTTATATTCTCAATGAAGAGGTTGAAGATCTAAAAACAAGGTAAGGACATCTGGGCATTCCAATTCCCTCATCCACCGAATCTCAGCTGTTTAAATCTGCATTGGGTTGGAAGTCATTGGATTTCTTGTTTGCTCCAGTGACACCATTTTAGAATTGTGGGTTCAGTATGGTAACCGCAGCTAAGAAGTTCTAAATAAGCACTACTGGCATGAAGAATAAAAGCTGATGAGAAAGGGAGGAATACATGAATTCTTAAGTCTGCATTGGACGTTGGATGATTTGTCTAAGAGTATAGTCTTTTGGGTCAGTAGATTACTAAACTTGCCATTTTCCAAATGGACTTTGTGTATCTGGCCAAAGTTTTTCCAGTCCCAAATTAAACATACCAATAATCCTCATTTAGCAATTATTCATGATTGCAATGGTGATGAAAAAGTAATTTTGTTACCAACTCTCTCATTTACAACCTTCACAGGTCTGTAAATCAAATAAAATCTGATGTAAGATCATAAGCACAATCATGGTATCACTTAGCAACCAAGTCACTTAACCAAGTACCAGTCCCAATTGTGGTTGTTCAATAAGGGCTATTTGTAATTGGCTTAAACAAGTATAGCAGCTGCTATGTAGAAAGAATGCCAAGTTCTGTTCCTTATTAAACATGATTCCTTCCCAAATAGAATCCAATCCAATGCATGCATTGAATTTTCATGGAGGTTTTCCTGAAGTTGGAAAAGAGAATTTTTTGTTTATTTTCAGTAAAATTTGTAATGCATTCTGAATTGTAGGGACAGAATTTGATTGTTGAGACTTGACTAAATACCAGGCATGTGTTTTTCATTATGGGGCAAAATTACAATTCCTTGTCAGTAGATAGAAATGAAAAAATAGAAGGTTGATTAGAGATTCAATTCGTTTTACTTGCCATTTTCTTAAAGGCTTATTATTATCCACATATTCTGGTTGAAAAGAAAATCTAGCCTTTTATCAACACGAAATATTTCAGCAGTTACATCTTGAGTATAATATAATTAAAATGGCATGAAAAGAGATTTAGTATACAATAACATTGAAGTTTGAAATATTTAAGAAAATCAAAAATTAAGTGGTTATATATATTTATATATATTTAAGTTATATTTATGATCAACTAAGGAATTCTGTAAATCATGCAGTATTTTTTGATAACCTGTTCAAGGGAAATGATTATCACTAACAGCAGATATGAAAAATATTTTTTAAAAACATGGAGTCTGAAATAGGAGTGCCATAACAGCCCATTGAAGATAGATAATTCTTAATAGGGCTACAATGCTGGTTGGCTGTTGGTACACTTTCTAGAAGCTTAATTTCACACTACAATATTTGCGCATCTTGCTAATGGAAGATGTAAAAATGAGCTGGATTTTAAATTGATTCAAGTGCAAGACCCACATCTCTTAAGTTTCCAGAGGATTTATATAGCAGTGTTTTAAAAAGACACCCATGATAGAAATTTACAATCACCTCAGATGCTGCTGAATTATGGCTGTAAGCCCTTAAATCACTTGCTAGTGTGCAGAAAATGCATAATTAAAAAACTAATTTCTCAGAGTTCTCAGCATGACAAGGAAATGTTAAAATCAAAGGAAACATTGTGTTTTTTCCTTGTAGCACACAAAAGAGAAGAAAGATTAAGCGGCATTTCAGTTGCTAAAAACGTGGTTTCTGTTGTATCTGAATGGAATCAGATTGTGAATGCTATTATAGCAGGTTCTGGTGAAATGGTAGATTCAGAGATGGGATAAAAGTTCAGTAATTATAAGACTCTTTTAACATTATGTTAGTTTAGAAAATGGGGGAGTGAAAAGAAATAAAATAAATAATAATTCCCTTATATAATCTTCCAAATTTTGATGGTGTGAAAAGCCTGTAGATTGTTTCTGTGTAATATTTGGAGAATATACTACCTACATTTGGGGGAGGTTAATTAAAACAAAAACAAGAATATTACAGTTTGTTCTTTATAAGTCAGTTGACAATGCCAAGAACCTGTTAATTTTGGGATCCTTAACAAGTTTTTTACTGTCCCTTTTGTAACTGCAACATTATAGTGGAAATATTTATCCAAGTCTGTTCAGCCAGTTTACCCTCAATGCTTTCTGAGATTCACAATTGACCTTCTGTCCAGAAAGCCTGCTTTCCCCACAACAGGTTTTCATGAACTGAATAGTATTAAAGATTCTATTTTAAGAAATAGGCTAGAAGAACAATGAATGTTCAAGATGAGTTCCCAGCACTTTTTCCATGGTTATGTCTTTTGGGCAGAGAAAGAATGTAAACCTTTAGAGCCACTGTTTGATAACCTTTCTTGATTTATTTAAACATACCATTTAAGTTCATTAAGACGTTTTCCTTAAAACCAAAATGTATTCGCATTCAATTGCTTATTTTAGTGTAAGCTATATGGGATACTAAGATCACACCGCAAAACTCAGTATTGACAGAACTTTTATTTAAATGCAGCTGGAAATTGTTAACTAATTCTTTAACATTTTTACATTATGGTTTTATTCTCATTAATTGGGAATTGTGATATTTTGCTTTAGTCAAGACTTTTCTACCCTTCATTTTAGCTGCTTTGCTTGTTAATATTATTGAAATATCTGCTACTTTGATAGATAATGCTGGGGACGTGGTCATTTGGATAAATGGTTGCCACTTGGCTTTCTTTCATTATAATTTAATGTATTTCCTTATTTTCCAGGGTTGACTATCTAATATCAAAAAAATTTTCCAAAGAAGCAGTTACACAAATGGTCTTAAGGGCTCCATGTTTACTCCTCCTTTCTGTGGAAAATCTGGATGATAGATTGGGTTTCTTCCAAAATGTACTTGGACTAAATCCAAGAAAGGTACCTTTTACTTTTCTTTAAAGACCACTTTGGATTAAAATGAGCACTGTGTGGCATTTCATTTGTATGGAATTCAGCAACAACTGGAGAGAGATTCATAATTTCTATTTTGATTATAGTATATATTTGTCCACAATATGTGAAAATATAATTGAAAAAAATCATCAAAAATCAGATAGTAAGAATCTTTTTCATTACAAGAATTTAAAATTTCCTATTATATAGACATTTATCTAGATGGCAGAGAATAGCCATTATACCCAGCTTTCTGAAAAGAATGTATATGGTATAATATTGCTGTAGGTTAGCCAAAAAAAATTCCATTGCAATGAAATTGAAGTAATTGAGTCATGATGATCAACATATGTATATAAATTGTTGAACCTGAAATCCTGTTAAGATTTTGCCTATGTTATAAAATACACTGCTCAAAAAAATAAAGGGAACACTTAAACAACACAATGTAACTCCAAGTCAATCACACTTCTGTGAAATCAAACTGTCCACTTAGGTAGCAACACTGATTGACAATCAATTTCACATGCTGTTGTGGAAATGGAATAGACAACAGTAGAAAGCACAGGCAGTTAGCAAGACATCCCCAATAAAGGAGTAGTTCTGCAGGTGGTGACCACAGACCACTTCTCAGTTCCTATGCTTTCTGGCTGATGGTTTGGACACTTTTGAATGCTGGCGGTACTGTCACTCTAGTGGTAGCATGAGACAGAGTCTACAACCCACAAAAGTGGCTCAGGTAGTGCAGCTCATCCAGGATGGCACATCAATGTGAGCTGTGGCAAGAAGGTTTGCTGTGTCTGTCAGCGTAGTGTCCAGAGCATGGTGGTGCTACCATGACATGAGTGACAGGGTCTGGAGACGCTGTGGAGAACGTTCTGCTGCCTGCAACATCCTTCAGCATGACCGGTTTGGCAGTGGGTCAGTAATGGTGTGGGGTGGCATTTCTTTAGGGGGCTGCTGCGAAGGAGAGAGAACAGGGAAAAGATTTGGGGTTTTTTTTTCTCCTTTTCCTATACTGACAGCGAAGAGACTTAAGCAAGAAATTGGAAAAAAATCCACTTTGACATTAATAGGCATTTAATGCTGAAAATAAAAAGTCAAAGGGATAATAAAGATTTCTGGATAATCAAAAGCTTTTGAAAACAGGAAAGGACAGAAAAAGAATAAAAGGGCAGGATCTGGAAGGGAGGAGACTGCCTGGAATTAAAACGAACTTACAGCAAAATCTTAACAAGACTTTCAAAAGATACATTTTAACTGAAATATCGCAACAAAAACCCCAGGAAGAGAAAGTGGAAAAAGAAAAAGAAGAAATAACTCGGAACTATTTGGATTACTTGATGATTTCTGGATTTTTGGTTATTGTATTTGAATGACTAAAATCAATTGGGTGGTTGTTTAAAACTGTTTAAAATGGCTCCACTTTTAGAAGAACTGAAAATGGAACTTAAAAAGTACAAAGAAGATGCACAAGAAGGGAGAGGTTCTTTTGGCTTCGTATTTCAGTTTTTAGAAATGGAGATTTGGAATTATGAGAAACAGCAAGAAATGCCTGCAGAACAAGAAGATTGCGACAAAGAAGAAGCCATCTTTAATGAACAAGTAATCTTAGGTGGGGGGAAAAAAGGAAGGGGGGGAAAGAGAATGGAAAATTTAAGATTGGGAAAAACAATTCCCCCCCAAAATAGAGTGAAAAGTAAGTATAAAATCAGAAAGCAACAGAAGCAGGAAATGCAGAAGAGAGAATTAGAAGTAGAGAGACAAGGGGGTAAAAAGGGGAGGGAGAAGAAGAGAGGGAAGAAAGGAAAAGAAGTTATAAAGGACAGAAACAAAATATAGAGAAAAAGGGCCTATTTAGAGATAATGGGTGAAAATGTAATGGAAAAAGGGATTCTGCAAAGGTACATAAGATAGTATTGTTATATTAGAAATAGAAATAATTTTAGAAAATATGAAACAATGTATGATTAAAATGTTTGATAAAATAGCTATCGTAATTCAATGGAATGCTTGTCAATAAATAAATGTAACAAAATGAATATTTAATGATTTACAAAACATGTGAAGAGAAATAAGGGAAAATTAATTATGGAGATTATATGTGTCTTTAAGGGAGTATGATATTTAATTGAAAAGAAGTCTTAAAGATGTTAAGATTTTAATGATTATTAATGATAGAACTGAATTGGAAGGGAATGAGGGTTTATAATTACATATATTTATAATCTTTTTTTTAAAAAAAAAAGAATATAGTGTGTATTATAAGAATGTACCAAGCAGAATTCGATTGGAAGTTATGTATTATGTATTATATTGAAGGTCATAACCTTAAGGTATATATTGAAGTTTAAATAAGAGTTGGATGGATGTAATTAAAAGATATAAAGGTGTCATACTCCAATTAGTAACTACAGGAGAAAATTTGTTTAATGAGAAAAGATAATATGAAATTGAAACAGAACAGACAAAAGTATAAATATAATGATTTGAATTGAGATGAGATAATCAAAATAAAATTGAGAAAATTAAAAGAGGGGAAAAACTATATAGAAAATATAGAATAGTATAAAATATTGGATAGAACACAAAAAGGATCATGAAATTGAGTTTTGTGTCTGTATAAAGAAGTTCAACTCGAGACCATGCTATTTTCAAAAAAGATGTTTTATTTGTATTCTGTATGTGTGAAAATCCAAATAAAACTTTATTTTTTAAAAAAAGAATATTTCATTCATTAAGATCTATGATTTCTTATTTTTGTGTTCCCTTTATTTTTTTGAGCAGTGTACATTCTTACATTATTTACACTCTGGATTGTATATCTGGCAGATTTTTCCTTACATAACCATAACACCCAAATAAGAAAATCTGTGTCTAGCTGAGGTACAACAGCTTCCCATGAATAGCTGAGGCACAATAGCTTCCTATGAATATGGCTGCCACTCTAAACAGAAGCATAAGTAAAAATAGAAGATATATCACTGCTTGCTTTTAAATTTATATATGTGTGAAAACTGCCAGTATATTAAAGTAAATTGTTTCCTAATGTGATTTTACCATACTATATACATCCATATTTTTTTCAATTAAAATCATGTTGCGTATATATATAAATATACTCTGCTGATGAAATACAAATGTTTATTTTAACCTAAATGTATATTATTTAATACATATTCATTTGTTTTTGAATGTAGACTAGAAATCTGGTAACCCGTCATCCAAGATTGCTAACTGGCAAACTTGAACCGATTGAAGAAAATCTTGCAGTAAGTCTCCTTCTTTTAGCTATTATTGTAAATTGTTCAATATTCATTATTCAACTCGTAAAAGTTGTTAAGAATCATGCAAGATAGCAACTGGACCAATTTTCACAGGTTCCAGTTCTACCTTATACTTAACATATAACAAGAATAATACCCTACTACAGTGATGGTTAACCTTTTTGGCACCGAGTACCGAAACTCGAGCGTGCACTGGAACCGGAAGAGAGCAACTGGCCGGCGCATAGGTGCATGACGGAATCCAGAAGAGCATCTGGCAATGGCGGGCGTGCCCACAGAGAGGACTCTACGTACCATCTCTGGCACGCAAGTCATAGGATCACTATCACAACCCTAGTACATGTAAAGTGTTTTGCACAAGCCCTGTGACTTTGAAATAAGTTCCTTTAAGTTCTTTATAAATATGATAGAAAGCTAGTGTGTGGCAGTACTTTGTATAATAACTTGTGTGTTGTTGCTCACAAACCACAGAGGGGGGTGTATGTTTAATGAGGTGTGTGAACCTCATTATGTGTAAGGTTTATGTGACCTATGTTTATATAACAAAAAATGGGCTATTTTTTTACTTTTTTAAACATGGCATTGTACAGTGTAATCCTTATATAGATTCAAGTGCAATCAATGAATGTTAGACATTTTTTTGAATGCTCAATAACAGTAGTTAACACTGTATGTCTCTTGAAAGCTGGGACTTTATTTTCTATTTCAATATTCTAAAGATACTGAGAATACAACTCACGCAAGGATTTTAGAAAATTATAACTTGTTTTATTTTGGCCAATCCACAGAACTGTGTTGAACATGCAATATTTTTAAAAATGGGGGGGGGGGGGAATGCTTCATTTTTTTCTTGGAAATGTTGTCCCAATATTTTCTTTGACTTCTTTCAAATTTCAAAATTGATTCATAGCAATCACTCTCTTTTTCAGGTATATGAAGAAGAACTTGGATTTAGTAAGAATGAAATCCGTCATATTGCACACACAGTCCCTAAAAGCTTAAGTACAGGCAAAAAGAAGTTAACACAGATTTTTGATTATGTGCATAATGTAATGGGCATTCCCCACCAACTTATGGTACATTTTCCTCAGGTAAGAATCTTGAAATGTATCTAATTACTAGTCACTGGAGCACAAAATGTGAAAAGTAGCTTAAGGGAAATTCATGCAGATTGTATATCAACATAATCGATTCAATAGATGGCCACCATCTCATATATGTATCTCTGGGTGGCTAACAATCAGAAACAATAAAAAGAGGAAAAAAACATAAAATAGCATAGCAGCCAAAAACATTATTAGCATAACCACTACCAAGAAACAAGCTCACCCAATTCTCAAGATGTAAAGATATGCATTCATGTATTTTTAAAAATAAGTGAAATTGTCCATATTTATGAAACTTACTTGCACATATCACTAGTTTTAATGACTTGTTCAATGCCATATTTGCTGATAACTGTATGCCACTGACTTCAGTATGATGTGCCCAAATAAGGTACATTTTTCATCCTTTTTCTTTTTTAGATTTTTAATGCAAAGTTATTACGAATCAAAGAAAGACATCTCTTTCTTAAGTTCCTGGGAAGAGCCCAATATGATCCAGAGCAACCAAGCTACATCTCCTTGGAAAAATTGATAACCTTGCCAGATGATGTGTTTTGTGCTGAAGTTGCTAAAACAGAAATAACAGACTTTGAAAAGTTTTTGAAAACGCTGTAAAGAACTGTTTAAAAAATATAAATACATCTGGTAGTAGGCCTTCTAACTACAAATTTTGGCAAAACTGTCAGTAAGTAAAATGCCTTCTAAATATGCAAACAAATTTAGAAATAAGATATAACATATCCAAGTGTGCTGATAAATGTTAAATAAGAAAAGCAAACATCATAAATCAAATATAAGGATGATTGAGCATTTATAGTCATGAGTGTAGCCACTTGTGTTTTCCATCAATGACCTAGATGTATTGTTTACCGAAGTATAACAATATCTGGTTTTAAATTTATTCCAGTGAATAAATCAATATTATTACATACAATAGAAAAGTCTGGTAGCATTTTTTCAGACTAACATAAATGTGAGATACAGCTCACTTCATCTGATGCAGAGAAGTTACTAGACTGATGAAAGATTTAAACTGGGAAGAGGTGGAGGAAGGAGAAGTTATGTGAGTGCAGGTTACATTCGAGGCAAATTAAAATTTCCCTATTAAATACACTGTGTAACCATAATTATAAATCATCCCAAACCAAGTCTCTGTTTTTCATCCATTTTAGAAGCTGTATTAGGTTTGTCTATGTTTTGCATGACTGCATTCTACAATTGCATAATTTTGTAGCATATTCCAACCCCTATCGCACAAGCTTTTTAAAGGGAAAAAATTGATTGCAGTGAATATATGGTTCTGCGCCTTACAGGCAATCTGATTTGACTTGTAATTCCAAAATACATTTTCACATTGAACTATTCTAATAAATAGTAATCCAAATGATTGTGGAGGTTAACTCAGAAGGAAAATGGAAACCTAATATTTGGATTTGGTACTTTCTAAAACATAGCATGAAGATGTTATAATTTACAGTTTACTTGTATATCATCCAGAATCCCTCTGTGAGGGAGATGGGCAGTTTCTATATTTGATAAGTAAATAAATAAAAAATATTTTATGAACAGTTGTGGATTTTTTTCATTTTTCATATTGGCATTGGTTCATAGTACAAGAGGCACAAAGGAATATATGTTTTGTTCAGTCTGTTCATTCACTCTGTGGGAATTCAGTACTTCGTCAGCATTCAACTTGATTATCTGGATCATTTGTAAGCATTCTTACTTGATACTTTTTCTATGATTGTGGAATATTTTATTCATTTATTAGATTTTTATCTCACCTTTATCACTTTATAAATAAACTATACACATGGGTATATACATACACTTTACATACACTATACACATGGGTATATAATACAACAACAGTGAGGATCTAAAAGCAGAAAGCAACTTGAATTTGATATCAAATGATATTCAAGATATAGTGTGATATGTACAGGTGTATGTCACTGAATTAATTTGAAATATCTGCTATTGATACAAAAGATAAAACTAAAATGGCAAAAGTTGGCTCCTGGAGAATTAAATCCTGCTCTGCAAAACATTCTTCATGGTTGCTTTGGAGTTAAATTTCAGAAAGTTGACTTGCTGAAATATTCAACCTTTTATCAGTTTTCATGGTCTTCACAGCATGACAAGATCTTTTCCAGCTTTCACAATCTGAGATTGAACAGAAATTCATCAAAAGATAATGCTGCAAATTTTCTCAATGTTTAAACATTCTCAAGATCTGTAATACATACCACTTTTGACAAAATACTTAAAGGCTTTTTCTGCCCCGTGCCAGAAAAATATCATACAAAGGAATAATAATCTTGGCTTTCATTTTAGAGCTGTTTGAAGCTACTCTCTTAAACCATTCTTAGGAGAAACCTCCGTTACTCCCTCTGCCAAATTTAGTAGACTCAATTTATAAATTAAGAGTCATCTTGACTATCCATTTCCCACTGTCGGCAGCAACCTTGTTCGCTGTCCATTGTCAGAAAACAATGAAGCGCAATTCCTCTTGCAAGACATCTTACTGTTTTTTTTTTATTTAAAAATAACACACACCCATATTTATTGTATAAAAGGAAACTTGCCGTTCACGCTCCGATTGTACGCGGCAGGAAAAAGGCACACCGCTGATGACCGCCCAAGCATTCATCCGGCAGAGTAACGTGCCGTTGACGCCAGAGTCACGTGACAACTCGGGGCCGTGAGCACGTGGTAATAAAGCCCTCGCTCCTTTTCCCGGCAGGCAGTTCGGGTTTTGTAGAGGTGAAAATGGCGGGCAGGGCACCCGGTACGTAAGTAAAGCGATCATTTTAGTCCGGCCACTTTAACCGTCGAAGAAGGCGGCGTATTTAAGGTTGTGTCGTTTTGTGACCCAGACAAGCCTGCTTTAATCGGTAGTGATGGTAAGAGGACGTAAGACACGATAAGGGTTGTCGACCACTCAGGTCTGTGTGTGTGTCTGTACAGCATCGGTTTTGTACGTGGCTCCTTTGAAGGAAACCCCCCTTTGAATTTAGCTGTGCTTTGAACTCTGGAAGGAGTGCATATAGGAAAGGGCGGGCTGTCCTGCCAGCTTCTAAATAGGTTGTTGGTTTTACTGCAAGGGCCTACGTGGGCTCTGACTCCAAAGGAGTCTTCTGTCAAACAATGAAAAAAAAAGTTTTTATGAAAAGATAACTTTGAGGCTTCGTTGGGATTATCCTCCTCTTCTGAAACACTTGGATGTGAAAAAGAACTCTAAAAAAATCTTTAGGATAGCAACTAATAGCACATATTTTTGCCCTGTCCTTTTTGACTTTCAAGTCTCTGTCTTTGGTCAGAATATATGCCGGTGTTGCTAGTCATCTATGAGGTTTTTAGTGGTTTCTGAAGGCTATATGGCTGCTTAGTTGGGGGATAGTTTGAAAAAAAGCTATACTGTACAGCCGTCCTAGAGGAAGAGGAACAGAGTAGAAATATAAAATTTATTTTAGTTCTCTTGATATTGGTGTTAGTGGCCACAGGAGTTTACCTAGTAGGGAAAGAAGTTGATAACTCATCAATTTTATCAATATGTAATCAAAGGGGATTTTTTCTGACCACTGTTTTGTATCTGTTTCCTGAATTTGAGAAAACAAAAATGCTGCCAGATTTATTTGGTTCCCAAAGTTTTCCCCTTTTCTAATTCCAACTTTATCCCGTACAGTTTTAAAATAAATATTATGCAGTATTGCCAATGTGATTAGTGTTTTGTATAGGCACAAAAATATAATACCTAAGTTATATGGGGGATTATATAAAGGAAGTCTGATAAGAGAATATGCATTATTCTATGTACTAATATACATTAGTTAGGGTATATATGTACTTCTAAATAAGTATTGAGTACTTTTATTTAGTTCAGAATCGAGCATGTGTACTTGAGTATGTGTACCTCACAGTTTTTAAAATAATGTTGATCTTAGCTCATTGTAAATCTGGACAATTCACATATATTTCAATTTCAGCATAAAGGGATTAGGAAGTAGAAGAACAATATTTAGATTGGAATACAGCAGGGGTGTCAAACTCGCTGTGTCATGTGATGTATCAGGACTTTTTTCCCCTTCACTAAACTGGGCAATGGAGGGGCCAGCACGTGATGCATCTGGCCTGCAGGCCACAAGTTTGACACCCCTGGAATACAGTAAAAGCATTACAGGAGGTGTTACTAGGAGTTTCTTTTTAATACTGCATTAAGTGGAATATTTACTTCTCATATTATTCTTGCTGTTGTATTATTTTAAGGTTTCTAAACTTCATTCTGCACATCCTTAATGCACTCCAATCCTTTGAAGTATTGGTCTTCAACTGTAATCACTAATACATTTGAAATTACAGGGCACAAAGTAGAAGAAAATGTTTTCATCTATAAAATGTGTAACTAGCAGTTCTCTGATGAAGCCAACAGTTTTGTTCTGAATACAGTTAAAACTATGCACATATTAAAGGTAATGGTCATAAATGTAACAAAGTTTATTAATAGTATTCTGTCTGAACCTGTATATTGAAAAGTCTTTTTACTTACACCCAAATATAATGTATGCAAATTCTTCTTTCTCAGAAATAGTGCACTTGTTTTTACTGTTGAATTTTTCTGGGCTGACAATCCTATTTTCTAGGATTGAAAGTGTTGCAGCCCTATAACTGCATCTTACTGTATTTGTAGTTCTGAGAGTGTTGGGATATGGATATGGAACAAGTGTACCATCTTAAGTTAACTGATTAATATTTCTAGTTTCAGCTGGCGGTCGTCTGTTTGAGAGATTACGCAAATGGTTTTACAATGCACAAGGATTCAATAAATACGGTGGGCATTTTCTATGGATATTTTTAAACTATAAATTTTATTTGCTAATGTGTTACTGGTGTATAAGTTCTTTATTGAATTGAAACAAAATCTTTTCAAACATGCTGTTCATTGTATTAGTCACAAAATAAATGATAAAAATTAAAATCAGTTACTCTGAATTTAGTTTTATTTTGTAACTAAAGACAACTACTATAGCTATAATTTACATGCTAGTCATTGGCCACATTGTCAATTGTTTGTACATTTGACTAAAGTAAAATAGCAAATTGCTCGAGGATGAACCTATATTTTTTATTTCATAATGTCATCAATTTGGATAGATTGTAAGGCTGCTGACTTCCAAGCAACCAGATATAAATGTGTTGCTGCCAACTATAGCCTATAGGCATCACTGAAGATAAACAGTATGATAAACTGTCTACTTGTGCATGTTTAGTCAGAAATGAATTCTGTTACAATTAAAGGTTAATGTGAGCCTATGCTCACATAATCTCTAAAGTCATCAGTAACAAGATTAACGATTATCTATTCCTTGCTGCAATAATGGCATCCTCTTCATGAATTTACCTACTTTGCAACTCCCTATGCAGAAATTGATTCAGGCTATTAACATTTCTTATAATTCCTGCTAGATCAAAGATTAATGCACAGTATAGATTTATACATGTTTTTTCAGAATAAGCCCCATTAGGGTCAGTAAGACAAATACCATGTAAGTATATTTAGAATTGTTGCTTTGGGTTTTATTCAGTTCATTGAGGAGATAAGGGTGGCACATTAAAAAC